ACAGACTCGCGTCTCGCGCTCCTCTACCGAAGCTGAGTATCGCGCTATGGCCGCGGGGGTGGCAGAGGCAGTGTGGCTTCGTTATATTATGGATTCTCTGCATGTTCCGCCTACGAAACCAAATTAATTGTGATAATGAGTCCACAATCTGTGTCACCAAGAATCCTGTTCTCCATGATCGCATGAAGCATGTTGGCTCTGACTGTCACTTTGTTCGAGACGAGGTTATGGCTGGCACTATGACTACACATCATGTTCCTTCTTCTGAGCAGCTTGCTGACATCTTGACAAAACCGCTTCCGCCGACTCCGTTCCATTATTTGTGTTCCAAGCTCCCCTCGTATCCGTTGATCAGCTTGCGGGGGATAATAGGAAGACTCCTAATATTATTTAGTTTCCTTATTCTTGTATTACCATAATTACTTTATTCCTTTCCTACTAGGAATAAGACTCTCTCTTGTAATCCCTATATATAGGAACATATCTCTCAATATTCAATAAGACAAATTATTATCAAATTGTATCAAAACTAATAAAATAATTGTGTATAATAAAAAAATCACATTAGGGGAATGCATATTGATATAATACTTAGAAATGGAAAATTTTTACGAAATTATTGGTCATCAAAATTATGGATAATGAAAGTTATTTTAATTAATGAATAATTAAAATAAAAGCTTTAAAATGTTTTAAAATTATATGTTAAACTCATACTACCTCCGTCCTAGAGTATTTGTCCACTTTCATTTTTACACACCATTCAATACACTTCTTTAATCCATTTTATCTTGTAATTTGTATATTAAAAAATTATAGAAATTATATATTAATAATCTACTCCCTCCGTCCAGAAATATTCTTCCCATTTGACTTTTCTTGGTCAAAATTTTTAAACTTTGACTATGATATGTGGAAAAAATACATTGTATTAGGATATAAATTTAATATGAATATATTCATTTTGAAATATAGTTTTCAAATATCAAATTTTTATAAAATATATCCATATATAAATAAAGATATTAGCGGTCAAAGTGTAATCTTGAAGACCGTAAAAAGTCAAATGGGAAGAATATTTCCGGACGGAGGGAGTATATGTTAAGAAAAATCAAACAAGATCACACATGACTATATTTAGGCTTACACATTGAGAGAATTTAACGAGTCAAAGTGCTTAGATGAATAGTTCCAAAAGTCAAAACTGGACGAATACTCCGAGACGGAGGGAGTATAACTTTTTTCAAAAATTAACAAAGAAAGTAAACAATGGATAATTCTAAAAACATATTTATGATTTTTATTTTAAATTAATAAATTATATATAATTTTTTCTAAATAATAAGATAATTATACATCATGTGATGTATTTTGTTGATGTTGTGTACTTAATGTTTTAACAGGCGTGGCTACTACCACCATTAAGCAATGTCAAATTGTCAAAGTGTTACGGGACTACATTTAGTATATTTAGTATTATTATTATTATTATTGTTATTGTTATTATTATTATTATTATTATTATTATTATCATTAGGTAATTATTATTTATGGTTAAAACTAGAGCTAAAGAATCCTAGCCATAAAAGGTAACTAAATAAATCAAAATACTAATACCTAATATAATAATATTCCATAACCATAAACAATAAACTACCTATAATAAGTAATTACCTAATGATAATAATAATAATAATAATAATAATAGTAATAATACTAAATATACTAAATGTAGTCCCGTAACAATAATATTCTTATACTATAGATAAAAAGCATGTTAGCCCACATTTTCTTTTTTATTCATCCCAAAAAAAGTTCAACTTTTCACTTCAAAAAATGATTTTGTGGCTTTTATAATTTCTGTCTTCTATGCATCATTCTCAAATCTTAACCACATATTTTTTACTTTTTTTAAATCTCCATTTTATCAAGTCAAAGGTAAAATTTTTTATGAGTGGGAGGGAATGCTCTATCCGTTCTAAAAAGAATGACAGTCCACTATTCAAAAATTAATTATTTGATAAAATAAATTTTTTGTTACTACTTCTTATTTTGAAGAATTTTTTTACGTAATTTATAAATATGTAAAATTTATTTTTTTAATTTCTATACTGATCTTAAAATAAAATGTATTGGGGAAAAAATAAAACCTCACTCTGTTTTGCATTTTAGTTAATGTAACAAATGTTTTGGATGTAAGGAGTATGTTTTACTCAGGTGTTTTTTAAGGAAAAATTATCTAGAATAATCTCAACTTTATCATGTCTTTCAAAAATAATCAAAGCTTTCATTGTGATACATAATAATACAGAGTATAAACGTTATTGAAATTTGTGAGTTTTGGATCACTGTTAAGTTGCTATTGGCAGGTTTACAGAAACGGCTTGTTTTACACAACAAAATGAGAGTTTGGCTTATTTTTATGAACTTTTTGTTTTCAATATATTTTCCTAAAATTTCATTTAAATTTTTAAAATTACTTTCTACCTCAAGCGTTTCTTTTTCTTTTTTAAAGGTTAGTTTTACTTTAAAAAAATAGATATAAAAAACAAAAAATAACAAAAATAACTATAAAACAATACAAAATTAATGAAATAAATAACGTAATCAATAGAAACAACTTGAAACTGGTAAGAAATAAAATAAAAATATACAAAGGTGTGTGTTTTAACATTTTACGCACTATACAAGGTTTTAACGTACCACTTCTTTTTATTTTTTAGGAAAAATTATCTAGAGTAATCTCAATTTTACTTGTTTTTTCAAAAATGAGAAGTACGAAGTAGTACATACTCTTTATTGTGCGTAAAATGTCAGAACCTACAACTCAATATATTTTTATTTCTAGCCAGTTTCAATTCAATTTCTATTGGTCACCTTATTTATTTCATTAGTTTTGTATATATGGTTTTATTTATTTTTCTCATTTTTTATTTTTAATATCTATTTTTTCTAAGATAAGACTAATCTTAAAAAAAGAAAAAGATATGGAGGTAGGAAGTCATCTTATAAAATTAAATGAAATTCTTAAAAAAATTAAAAACAAAAATTGATAACAAATAATCTCAACTTTCATTTCATGGTGCAAAATAGGCATTTCTGTCAACCCACAATTAGCAATTTAACGGCAATCTAAAATTCGTAAATTTCAGGAAAGTTAAAATTATTATGCATTACAGTGAAATGTAAGATTATTTTTGAAAGATAATGTTAAGTTAAAATTATTTTAGATAATTTTTTAATACAAAAAGGGGTAATAGCAAAGTGAAATTTGCATAAATAGGACTCAAACATAAGTCATTTTCCAATGTAGGACTTAAACTTTTTTATTCTCTAAATAATAATTAATAATGTCTAGTGGGAGAAATAATGTCTAATGATGGTATACATTTACTTGAATATTGACTAATGGATATTGGATAATGACCAATAGCCCTACTTTGGAAAATAAAAGCATATGATTTTATATTCAGAAAGTGATTATATTTTAATCTTATTTAGATAAATTTCTCAATATATAGAAAAAGGATAACAAGCTACTCAGGACTTCTTAACACCGACTAGACAATTAGTTGAGAGGGGACAACAAATTTGTAGGAATAATAATAATGGGAGCTAGCTATGGACCTATAGTAGAGCAGCATAGCACGTTGTTATAGCTAGGTCAATTGGTGGACAAAATGATTTCCCACTTTTTTCAACATTGGAACTCCGGTAGGGTGACCAAAAAAATGAATGGAAATGGAAAGAACAGACAAACAGACGTTAGTGAAACGTACGTTAAACCTAAACAGAGCCAAAATTCCTTCTAAACAAAAGCAAGCAAAGCAAAACAAAACAAAAAGCACCAAACAAAATTCCAAACAACAGTACAACAATATATAATGTGCCCATTACTCCCCGTCCTAAAAGAATTATATTCTTCCTTTTCAAAAGTTACCTAAATTTTTATATATTTATTTATGTATTTTGATTTATTATTTGGTACTCCCTCCGTCCTTAAATATTTGCCACACTTGTATAGAAATATCAAGGTTTTTCAATTCATTTTATTTACATATTGGTATAGAAATAAAAAATAAAATTTACATATCAAAAAACTACATGAAAAGTTCTTCGAAATAAGAGGTTTCAAGAATATTTTATTTTATCAAATAACCAATGAAAACGTAGAAATAAACAAAAGTTCCCGCAACGCTGAAAAATCAAACGTTGCAAATATTTCGGGACGGAGGGAGTACAATAAAACACTACTCCGGAGTACAAGAATAGGCAGACAAAAAATAGAGATGGAAGTCATTCGGACGTTACAACATCAGAATTAGCGATGGATAATACACGCTCACCAATTTTAGCAACGCAAAGCTAAATCCGTTGTTAAATGTACGCTGGAAGTTTAAAGTCTGTCGGCGTTTCTGTCGCCACTAGCGACGGATATTTAAAACTCGTCCCCATATTCAATACTAACGAAAATATGACGATGGATAGGGTACTGTCGCCATTTTCGTCGTCCAACCTAATTCCCTACGGAATTTAAGGGGTGGCGACAGAATATTTACGTCGTCATTCTGCCAAATTTTTGTAGTGAATTATGTTCAACGAATCTCTGTTCTAAATAAATTAAAAGAATTTAAAATTTCTCTTCATTTTACGTGCCGTGTAAATCATTTTAAGATGATGGGACTATGGGAGCAGTATAAGGTCATATTCTCTAATCTGATTGGAATAAGTTCTGGTCTTATCTAATTTGATCTAATCTGATCTGATTTCAACAAAAATAAGTAAGAAGTAAAAAAATAAATTAGGAAGTTAATGGCCTAAATGAAAAACATCATATATATATATATATATATATATATATATATATATCATCCTCCTTTACCAATTAATTATATACGTACCAAAATTAAAATGGTTGGAATTGCCATGGGAGGATCTCCTCATCAAGTGTCTGCGGATTATATAACAGCTTACGAAAGCCTGGGACTAGAGGAATACGACAGCGCCGCCGCCGCCGCCGGACAACGTCCGCCGCCGAGAGTCGTGTCATTTCTCGGCTCGGTTCTTGAGAAGGCGATTATGAAGAATAATAAGGCGGCGTGGAAGAAGAACAAGGACAATACTTATAATCTTCTCGTCGCCGTCTTCCATGGCAGCAGAGCTCCGTCTCTGACGGTTCATCAGTACCTGGACCGGATTTTCAGGTACTCGGACTGCAGCCCGGCCTGTTTCGTGGTTGCTTACATTTACTTGGACCGGTTCGTTGCCCGGACCGGCGCTGTTCTGACGTCACTTAACGTCCACCGCCTTCTCATTACCTCCGTCATGTTGGCCGCCAAGTTTCTCGACGACCGGTGAGCCTTTCCGTCTACCCATCTCCCATCCTTTCTTTTTTTTTGAGAAATTTACCTAGACTAAAACATAATGTTGGACCTTTGGTCATTATCACGAAGTCATTATTCAACTAAATGTGCATCATTGCTGGACATTATTTCTTCCACTAGGTCATTATTAAGTCCTATTTAGGGAATAAAAAAGTTTAAGTCCTACATTATGAAAGTCATTATGTTTTAGTCCTATTTAGTGCAAATTTCACTTTTTTTTACGCAAGCTATTTTTTTAAGGCATTTTACACAAGCTATTCTGGTATTTGGTAGCACAAAATTACTCCCTCCATCCTAAAATTTTCTTCCAGATCACTATTCCAACTTCACGGGATTTTTTATTTATTTATGTTTTTTCATGGCCTATATGATAAAATAAAATATTCTTGTCACCACTTGTTTTATTGAACTTTTGATGTAGTTTTTAAATATGTATGTTTTATTTTTTATTTCTATACCAATATTTAAATAAAATAGATTGAAAAAACTTAGGAATTTTCTTCGTTTTGCGCAACAGGAAGAAAGATATAGGACGGAGGGAGTATATATGTGGATTTGGAATTGATAGTGCAAAAAATGAATTAGAATTGGCAGAATTCAATTCTATGGAATTGAATTTCATGAAATTTCAATTCTAATTCCGTATACCAAACGGACCCTAAATTTCCAAAGTGTTGACAAAAAAAATTCACATTAAGATTTCAATTCTAATTTCAATTCCAATTCTGTATACCAAACGCACCACACTCTCACTCCCTTAAGATTTCCTATGCTACCTACCCCGATAAGCCCTCCATCCTGGCTTATCGAAACCATTCAACCTTTAAATTGTACCCTCAAATTTAGAGGGTGCAATACTGCAATTAAAGAAGTGTTGACCACATAGGTTTGGATTGGGCGGGATGGGATTTCCTGAGAATGTAGGAACCATGCATCAATTTTACAATTTTATAATTTGAATTTCGTACGGGAAATAGAACCTAATTAGAATTGGTATCAACTAAAGCCACACAATTGACACAAAGCGAGTAGCTCTAGAACTTCTAAAATTTTGATGGTCTTTCAAAGATAAATTCAAGTTTCAATATTATCGATCAAAGCAACTTTCGATTTTTTTATCAAAACTTTAAATTTATTTTGAAAAGTATTTGGTGAAAATGACTCATTTTTCTTTTAAAACCATGTATGTGGCGTGGGACGTGAAAAGGGTGAAACAAAAAAGTACCAATATAGATTGCCCATAAGCGGAAAATCTTGACAATCTTTTTTTAATTATTACGCCCTCCCTTATATCTATTTCTACCCGAAGAGTTTGTACTCCATTTGTACACCGCATGTATGCATCAATATTTTATATTGGTGTAAATGTATAATGCTAATTTTTGTTAACGCACCAATACTTTGTATCTGTGTAAATTTTTTTTAGCGTACTAATATTTTGTGTCATATGAATCATCAAAATATTGGTGTATACCTTTCGTGTGAGTTTGAAATACAAATTTTGACGTAAGTTTAGCATAGTTCTCTTTTTCTCTTTTTTATGTCGTCACTTTTATGAGCTCTTCTCATGATATTGGAATCTCATATCATGGGATTACCCGGGACCGCTATGGTTTTTCGTTCGTAAAACTGACAGTTCTTTTTCCTTCATCCCTGGTAAACCCTTCCACCATGCCTCATCCCGCCCTCTTCAATTGCACCTCCCAAAATTATTTGACTTTGGAGTCAAAACTTTGACTCCAAAATCAAATAAACTTGGAGGCGCAATTAAGGGGGGTGGTGTGTATTTGGACCGGAGCAGGGTGAGGAGTTTATCAGGAGATTAATAAGGTATGAACCATCAATTTTACAAACAGAGCACCATATCGGTCTCGAGTCATCCCATAATATGAGGTTCTAATGTCACGTGAAATCTCCTACTTTTATACCGAGTAATTATTTATTTGACGAATTGAATGGATGGAACGGGAGGAACATGCAGTTGTTATAACAATGGATACTACGCGAGGGTTGGAGGGATAAGCAACTCAGAGCTGAACAAGCTGGAGTTGAAGCTGTTGACCGCTCTTCATTTTCAGCTCCACGTTACTCTCCCCACCTTCAACGCCTACTGTCTGCACCTCATCCGGGAAACCCAATCTCCGGTCAACCAGCCGCGGCGGCGGAGGCCGCCGGTTAAACTTTTTGGTTTCAGAAAATACATTGGGTTCGTAAGAAATTAAACTCATCAAACTAGCTCATAAGCTAGCTAGCAATTATATTATGGATTATTTATTCAAATACTACTAGAACATAATGACTTTTCCTAAATAGCACTACATGTGTTTTTTCTTCTTAATGTAACATTTTTAGTCATTATGCAATATGCACTAGTCATTATTTAAATAAATATTCACCATCACTGGACATTATTAATTATTATTTAAGAAATAAAACAATTTAAATGATATTTAGAGAAATGACTTAAGTTTTAGTGCTATTTAGTGCAAATATTTCTTATATTCTAATTAAAGATGCTTATTAATTAGTTACGAACATGTGGTACGCTACAATATTACCTCGAAAAACACTTTCGCTCTAATTTTTTACGCACTGCATAAAATACTTTTATTTCTCCTAAAAATATCTGAAATACATCCTATTATGTAGTTTATTGCGGGTAGAAGTTATTTTGGAGGTATTTTAGTCATTTTAATGAAATAAAAGTATTTTATGTGGTGCGCAAAAATTGGTGCGGAAATGTTTTCAAGAACGGAGCAAGTATTTGATTTCCGTCGTCCACTATTCCTCTCCATTTACTATATGCAGTCCTAATTTTAATGTAATGAAATACTCCCTTCGTCCATAAACATATGCCACATTTCAAAAAATGAGGTAAAATATCAAGTTTTTCGATTCATTTTATTTAAATATTAGTATAGAAATAAAAAATAAATTTACATATTTATTTTATCAAATAATCAATGAAAAAGTCCAAATAAACAAAAATTCTCGTGACTACTGAAAAACTAAATGTGGCAAATATTTTGGGACAGAGGGAGTACTATTTTCGTCCTATAAAATTGAAAGTGAATAAAAAAACTTAAATTTAAGAAATAAAAATTTAGTTTTGTTCTTATGTTACTACTCTTTCTGTCCCAAATTAAATTACATGTTTATTATTCACATGATCAAACTTCATTCATTTTCTTTCTCTTTTTTCGGTAATCATTTAATAAAATAAAATAGTTATGTCATCACTAATTCTGTAAATCTTTTGATGTTGTATTTTAACTAGATTCATACCCGTGCGTTGCACGGCAAATAATTTATTCCAAATTATTAAAATGATATTTTCATGAAATAAATGTCTAAATCTAAATTTAAATAGAGGATTAAATATAAATTCAACATATATTAATAGCGAACTATATGAATTAATTTGACACACAATCGCAATATTTGAAAGAGTTGCATTTTAAATTCCACTTTCTGTAACGGTATAACATGTTTGAGCAAGAGAGCCTGACGTAGCTTTTAAAAAAGTATAATCACATCCCGATGAAAACCGGCTTAAAGGCATCAAATATATGACATATATGAAAGTGTTCAATTGATTAAATTTATTTACAATAATAACTTGTAATATTTTAAATTGAAAACATAAAATCTTACACTCATCTTTATAGCATTTTAGGGGAAAAATGTCTACTTCATAACATGGTTTTCACCTATATATGAGTTGCCCATATAAATACCCTAGCATAGTTTTTGTAATACATTAAAAAAACACTCATAACATATGCAAAATACATCATATTCTACTTTTACTCATCACATCAAGGGTATTTTTAGAAAGTCAACACAAAAATATTCCTCCCTTAAATTTTTTTAAAAGTCAAAATAGGAACATTTTTTGTGATGGAAGAAGTATATATATGAGCAATTATGCATTGCATGTTGAGCTAACTTTAATGGTAGAATTGTTGGTCTCCTTGTCAATAACATGGGAAGAGTTCCCATGACATTTTTACTCCAAAGTCAAAATCAACTTGTGAGGTGTAATTGAAGAGGATGTGGTGTTGGGGTTCTTAGGGGGTACGAAGCATCAGTTTTACGATGGGACACTGGAGCGCCCCCGAGTCATCCCATGACATGGGATTCCAATGTCATGGGAACCCCACCCCAATAACATACTCCCTCCGTCCCAAAATATTCACAACATTTGCTTTTTCAGCAGTCGCGAGAACTTTTGTTTATTTCTACGTTTTCATTGGTTATTTGATAAAATAAAATATTCTTGGCACCTCTTATTTTGAAGAACTTTTCATGTAGTTTTTTGATATGTAATTTTTATTTTTTATTTCTTTACTAATATTTAAATAAAATGAATTGAAATTAAAAACTTGATATTTTGCCTCGGTAATAGAAATGTGACAAATAATTTGGGACGGATGGAGTATGCAAAATAATACTCCCTCCGTCCGGAAATATTCTTCCCATTTTCCTTTTTGGCCCGTCCGGAAATATTCTTCCCATTTCCTTTTTTAGTATACTTTTTAAGGCTAAATATCAATAATACCCTTCTATTATATCACAAATCTACTTTTTTAGTACTTTTTTAATAATAAAAGGAGATTTAAAAGTTTATAGTATATGTGCATTTTTGAAAATTTTGCATTTTTTTACTATTCCTTAATAAGCGTGCCAAGTCAACACGGGAAGAACATTTCCGGACGGAGGAAGTATAAGCAAGAATAAAACATCTCCAACTTTCAATTATCTTCTACATATAACTCCACTTGATCTTATTAAAACTATGAATCCCAAAAATTTAATATGTTTTTTTACAATAAATAAGAAGCCAAGTCAACAATTGGCTCATTCTCACCTCAAAATACACTATTGTACAAAACGTACATATACTCTTTAAAATACTGATACAAAACGTACATATACTCTTTAAAACGTACATATGTATCTAGTTGATCATTTAATTGAGTAACTTTTTAACACTTAAATTCTTTCAATATTTTCTAACCTTTTCCAACTTTTACTAAGTCCTTCTAGTTTCTTACAACTCATTTCAATTTCTTTTAATATCCAACTCTGAAATTATATCTATTTTGAATATAGTTCAAAAATGTTAAATTATTATAATATTTATATAATTATTGTAAATTATATTTAATTCGCAGTTAAAAGGAACCACAGCTTGATCACAAAAGTCAAATTATGGCAATCTTTTAATGCCGATGGAGTATATTTTTTATTTAATTGTATGTCAATTTTGAAAATGATGAATTACAAAAAATCAAAACTGACAAAAAATCTAGACCAAGGTATTATAGAGTAATTCATAAAAATAACTCCTTGTGTTTTTTATTTGATCGGGCTAATAACCCCCCTCTTGGAAACCACTCTTGAGAAGTGCAAAAGACATGCGCACAATTAATAGTACATGTTCCTTCTCAATGTATTGATCAATGACTTCTTGGATAATAAATCGACGGCTCAGCCCTTAAAAGAGAAAAGATTGACGGCTAAAATTGCATATCTCCTGTGGCGGGAAAACACCATTTTTCTTTCCTTTTTTCTTTTGTTCCCCAATTCTTTTGCTTTTGTATATAGTATAGATATGTAATTTTAATTTTTTAATTCTACACAATTTTTCATATAAAATAGTTTGAAAATAATTTCAGTCAAACAAACAGGCAATATAAATTAGGAAAAATTACCTAAAATAATCCCAACTTTACCCGGTCTTTCAAAAATAATCCCACCTTTCACTGTGATGCATAATAATCCCAACTTTACTGAAATTTGCCAGTTTTGGGTCGTCGTTAAGTTTCTAACGGAGGGTTAACGGAAATGCCCGTTTTAGGCAACAAAATGAAAGTTGTGATTATTTTTGATGAATTTTCATTTTTTTTATTTTTTTAAAATTTTTCATTTAAATTTTTTAAATTACTTTCTGTCTCCATCGTCATTTCTTTTTCCTTTTTTAAAGATTAGTCTTAGTTTAAAAACAAAATAATAGATATAAAAAATGAAAAAATGAGAAATGTAACTAAAATGATACAAAAATAATAAAATAAATAAGGTAATCAATGGAAACTAACTTGAAATTGGTAAAAGTAAAATAAAAATATACGGGTGGGTTTTAATATTTTACGCATTATACAAAGTATTAACATATCACTTCTTATTTTTTAGAAAAAATTATCTAAAATAATTCTGACTTTACCGGACGGCTTGTTCTTTTAAAAAATAAGTAGTACATTAAGACTCCGTATAGTGTGTAAAATGTTAAAACCGACCACTCCGTATATATTTATTTTATTTCTTACCAGTTTCTGTTTAATTTCTATTGATTACATTATTTATTTGATTAATTTTGTATGGTTTTAGTTATTTTCTCATTTTCATTATTTTTTATATCTATTTTTTTCTAAGGTAAGAATAATCTTTAAAAAAGAAAAAGAAATGGAGGTTGAAAGTAATTCAAAAAATTTAAATAAAAATTTCAAAAAAAAATTAAAAAACAAAAATTCATCAAAAATAATCCCAACTTTCATTTTGTTGCCTAAAACGGACATTTCCGTTAACCCTCCGTTAGAAACTTAATGACGACCCAAAACTAGCAAATTTCAATAAAGTTGGAATTATTATGCATCACAGTGAAAGGTGGGATTATTTTTGAAAGACCGGGTAAAGTTGGAATTATTTTGAGTAATTTTTCCTATAAATTAAGATAGAGGAAGTGTAATGTATAGTAAGATGTAATATGATGGATATACTGAAAGTGAATAACTATAATCTGATAGGTATGTAGGTTAATAATTTTAACGGGAAGGGAGTGTTTTTTTAGACGAATTAAAAAAAGTAAAAAGATTTTTTTAATATCCAGGTGTACACATTCACGAATAATATGACCATCAATATCGAGGTGTATCAAAAAAGCACTTCCTCTGTCCCATTATATTTTTCCAATTTTGACTTTTGCAGTCAATCAAAATCGATCTATAAGCTATAAATAAATAAAAATTACATCGTACTCTCTCCGTCCCAAGTTATTATTCATGTTTACTTGACAAAATAACATAGTAATGTCACCTCTTATTATTATTATTTATATTATTATTATTATTGTTTTATTATTATTTTTATTACACTATTTTCTTTTCAATACTTTTGTGATATGATATGATGGAATGAATATAATCTAATGAATGGATCTGATTAATTTGATTCTAATTATTTTAAGTAATTAACTAAAAACGACTAGTCAATGACATAGACTTGTCCTGAACGCGGTTTAGAAAAATTCCAAACTTCATTTAAATGGCTCAGATCAACTCTAGTCCAACATTTGAAATCAAACATATCAGGTTAATTGTAAGTTAGAATTTTCAAGCATAATCCTAGCACTTTCCTACTATATATAAAAGCCACCAAAGATGCTTCTCCCTTCCATCCTTGTACTTGGGTAGGAAGCCATGGATGAGGTGAAGTTACTTGGGTGTTGGGTGAGTCCATTTGCTCACAGAGTAAAATGGGCTTTGGAGCTAAGGGGAGTGAAGTATGAATACATAGAAGAAGATCTTTCAAACAAGAGCCAGCTGCTTTTGGAGTCCAATCCAGTGCACAAGAAGGTCCCTGTGCTTCTTCATGGTGACAGAGCCATCTCTGAGTCTGCTGTCATACTTGAATACATTGATGAGGTCTGGCCTTAGAATCCCCTGTTTCCCGTAGACGCTTACGAAAGAGCCCTAGCTCGGTTCTGGATCGGTTTTGTAGCAGATAAGGTAAATATATTACTCCGTCCGTCCCAAAAACAGAAGTTCCACCGTTGTCTTGGCACGAAGGTTAAAAAATGAAAAAAAAGATTCCATCTTTGACTTGGCACGAAGATTATAAAATGTGAAATTGTATGGTTGAATTGATACAGAGGAGAGAAATCATAAAGATTGCAAATTTCTTTTTATAAGTAGAAAGTAGAATCTTTTTTTGGGACGAACTAAAAGATAATGTGGAACCTTTTTTATGGGGCAGAGGAAGTATTGTCTTACTTCAAATTATTATACAACAAAAACCCAAGTTTTGATTGCTTAATTGTAGTGAGTGTTCAAAGTTTAAACACAGATATGTTTGTGGCAGGGCAGTGCTTACCACTCATTCATTGTGTCCAATGAAGAAAGCAGGGAGAAGAGCAAAGAAGAGCTGACACAAGTGCTCAAGATATTGGAAGATGAAGCTTTGAAGGACAAGAAGTTTTTTGGGGGAGATGAAATAGGAGTGGTGGACATCATATTTGGAAACATACCTCATTGGTTTGAAGCCATGGAAGAAGTTGTTGGTGTGAAAGTAGTTGAACCAAATACTCTGCCTCGCCTACACGCCTGGGCTCAGCGCTTCAAGCAAGTTCCCAAGATCAACCACAGTCTGCCACCTTATCATGACTTGCTTCTCTTTGTCAAGGGCTTTAGGCAGAGCCTTATTTCAAACACACTAAAGGCTTCTGCCCAGAGTCTGTAATCTCAGCACTACAGTCTGAAATCAAAATATAACAGTGGGTTTAATTAAAATTGAAAAACAGGAGTCTCAAGACTTCAAAATTGAAAGCTATTACCGGCTCTAAATGATACCTCTTTCATATAAATAAGATGCTTGTTTCTTACTTTTCATTCTTTTTTACTAAATAATTTGAGTTCTTTTCAGGTTTGTGGTTGTAATATAGAAGTTGTGTGAGAGATTATGAATGTGCCTTGTGTTGTAACCCAATACTCCCTCTTTCCCAAATCTATCATCTTGTTTCAGATTACGCGGGTTAACTAAATTTGTTTTCAATTCAATTTATCTAAATAATGATATAATATTTCAAAATAAATATTAGTATGGAGTAGTATATAATTAAAAACGAAGTAGTACGGAGTAGTATATAATATATCAAAAGTTGATTTTGACTTTGGAGTCAAATTTTGACTCCAACGTCAAAATCAACTTGTGGGGTGCAATTGAAGGGGGTGGGGGGGTTTGTTCGGGTCGGGGCGGGGTGAGGGGGTTTACCGGGGGGTAGGAACTGTCAATTTTACGAATGAAGCAACGGAGCGCCCCCGAGTCATCCCATGACATTGGTTCCCAATGTCATGGGAACCTTGCCCAATTATCTTTGGAGTTTCACAAATGGGAAGGCCAAACATCATTGGACTGCATGGGCTAAGGTTTGTGCACCTAGGGAAGAAGGTGGGTTGGGACTCAGAAACTTAATTGACATTCAAGAGACTTATTCCATTAAACTTTGGTGGAGCGTACAAACTACAAACTGACAATATTTTGTGGGCAGAATACATGAGGGCTAAAAACCTCAAGAACAACAAAATTCGAGAGAGAATTTCACTCTCCAGTTTAGAAAAGATTCAGCAGAGCAGCACCATTAGTTAAATTGTGGATGGAAACTTAACATGGAATGAAGGATATTTCAGTCTTAAGAAAGCTTATGATTGCAGAGATCATAACCCTAAACAACTAGACCTTAAGTTCATCTGGAGCCATCTACAAATTCCTAAAATAAGTTCTTTCATTGTGGGATACAAAAGGAGACCATATCATTTCCTAAAAACTTGAGGAAAATATGAATTAAAAATGGCTTCAAGGTGTGTTTTTTGCAAGAAAAATGAAGATGAAAAATTGAAATGAACCATACCCTCTTTCAATGTAGGTGGATCAAGACAGTCTGTTTGGGAATGCTTCTCTAGCGTGGTTGAAGGTCCACCTCCGCAACAGGGACTAAGTCATCGCCAACACATTTTTCATGGAATCTGGCACAGGGTATAAACACAGTGAGAGCATCTCCAATGGAGATTCTAAAAAATTGGGATGCTATAATTCAAAATAGATGATGAATAGTAGAAATGCTCCCGCCATGAAGTGCTATATTCAATATTTGCTATTTTTTGTCTCAAACGCAAAGATATAAATAGGAGTCACTGTAGCACTGTGTATATTTACATTATGCAGAGTTTATAATAGAAGATAGACTTTAATTAAGCTCTTGGGTTGGAGGTCAAAATCAATAAACATTACTAGCTATTTTTGCTATTTTTTGTTTTTAGCTGACACGTTGGAGATGCTCTGAAAGGGGGCATGGAAATGGAGTTAAACTTTATACTTCCGGCTACTTTTTCTAATTGAGTTTTTTTTCAAATTAGTCTATTTTTGAAATAAAAACAATTTTTTTTTGTCAAGTTATAAAAAAGTTTTCACTCTTTTCCTCTTTGTCTGTCTCAAAAACATCATTTTCTCTTTAAAAAGGAATGAGTGACTCACAATTCTTCTTTGTTTTTTTTCTAAACAAATTCAAATTATAAAGTTTTTATTTTTAATATTTTCTTAAACTACGTGCGCGAGAGTCAAATAAGGGTTTTTTTCTAATGAAGGGAGTATATATATTTTTTCAAATAAATATTTTAAATGAATAGACATTCTAATTTGAAAAATTCTATTGTAAATACTACTACTCCCTCTCTTCTCAAAAACATTTCCTCTTTCATTTTTTCACTTCCAACAAAATACTTCCACTTTTTATTAAAAAACTACTTTTACCATTACTTTTGCATACCCTACCTATCACATCATACTTTATCTCTAATAATCTATCCATCACATCTTACTTTTATCTATCACATCAAGGGCAAAATTGGAAGTCAACTACAATTTAATACTTCCTTATTTTTGTACAAAGTCAAAAGAGGAACACTTTTTCCAAACGGGGGAGTACTCCCTCCGTCCATAAAAGAACTTCCCGGTTTGACCGGGCACGCATATTAATGTGTGATAAAATTTGCTTTGACTTTCCCATTATACTCTTATCCCTTGCAACTTTAATCTTTCAATCGATAATCGCCAACACCACCAGCGGCAATTCTTGGCCACCACCGACAACTCTCCAACATCGCCGCCGCCGCCAAATCTCCGGCACCACCGGATGACCTCTCTGATTCTTCTTGCCTCCATCCCTTCCGTAACCCTCCTCCCTCGTAGATCTTTTCTAGATCTGTTTAGTATTCGAGGTTTTGACGGAGAGATGCGAGGCTAGGTGTAATGGAAGTTTTGTAGATCTATGGAATCGATGGCGGCTATGTCGGAAGAGAAGCAGATCTGACCGTTGGGCACCTCCGACCACCGACTCACTATTTCGCTGCTCCCAATCACTGGGTACGTGATGGGACAAATCCGAAGGGGGGATGAAAGAAGAAGAAAAGAGAAAAGAAAGAAGAAGAAAAAAGAGAAGAAAAGAACGAAAATCTGAAGAAAAGAGAAAAAAAACGGAGAGAAAAAAAAATTATACAGAGAGTGGGTGGATCAAAAGGGAGAGGAAGAAAGAAAAAAAGAGAAAAGAAAGGAGAAAGAAGATGTGTTGACCGAGAGAGGATGAGAGGAAGAAGAAAAAAGACACGGAGTAAGAAAGAGGGTAGGGTGAGGGTAATTAGGTATTTTTGGCATGAAAAAGTTTCCAAAAAAGGAAACGGAAAGTTTATTTGTGAACGGACGAAAAAGGAAAGTGGAAAGTTTTTTTATGGACGGAGAGAGTATTAAAAATGGAAAGATCTAAAAAAATTGAGAAAAATGAACTTTTGTGCATTTCTCTCGGTAATGTTCTTGCTTCATTCATATCTCCGTAGTTGTGTCCGTGAGACTTTGACTGTCTAGTCTCTCCATGGCCGCTTGCTCATATCCATCCCTCTCGTGGTGCTCTGCATCTGTTCCAATTTCGTCATCCGCCTCCCGATACTCTTCGTGTCTGTACCCGGTTAATGCTCAATCGCATCATATAAATTCACAATCAGGTTGCGCAAGGGTCCATGCCAAGTTTGAGAAGTTCCAAGGACAAGAAAATCGCGATCAGGACTTCGCTGAGCAAAATTCCTTAGTCTCACAATCGCATCCAAGTCCAGACGAAGAAGACGAAGACGACAGGTGTTTTTTCAAGGTTTCTTATTGTGCTTTACCTTGTTGCCTGCTTAGTAAAGCTTATATGACCATGGACAATCAATTGCAAGCTACCACTAAACTAATAGATCAATCAAATCAAATGTTAGGGTATGTTGCTGTTAGAAATGTGTTTGCTGCCAAACAATTTGTTCTGCTCCAAAATTCAACGGAAGAACCAGAATGAGAAATAATATACTTCAAGGCTATAATTAAAGAGAGAGAACAAAGTGAATGTTACTGCCACTTTAAAATTGAAAGGAAGATTTGAATTGCAACCTTTTCAATTTCAGTTTGTGGAAGAACCCAATGCACCAAAACTCCAGTGAGCAACGAAAACTAAGATTGGGTTCTGCTCTCCAAAATGAATTAGCAGTGTAAAATCCCAACTTGTCCAAAAATAAATGCAAGGCAGATCACAACAAATTAGAACAATGACCAAATCTGCCTTATTGCTCCTCCAATTAGCACGAAGAACAAAACCCCAGGGACTTCTTCTTGCGCCTGAAACAGAACCAAAAACAAGGAGAGAGTGAAGCACCATGCCGTGGATTAAAACCACTACCTTAGAAACAGTTTTGCCTTCACTGGTGCGGTTGATACAAGGCGTCGTCCCCCAAGGATAACACGGAAGCCGACCTCTGTGCGCACCCACAGAAGGCGGAGGGAACCGTACTGATGTTATGCTCAGCAAAGATGAAAGGGATTTACAGAGAGCTTTGTAAAGGGGAAGGAAAAATGCAGATTATTTTTTTCGGAAAGATTTTTCCTATTTTTCTGTGTGTTTATTTCTGGAGTGTGTAGAATAAATAGATTTAAGGGGAGAAGCAGTTTCAACCGAACTAAGAAGAAGGAGAGATATCCAGTAGAGTCACAAAGACCGGATCTCATTTTGAATTGCTCAACAAAGTTGGAAGAGAGATGAGCTGACCAAGTAAACTCCAAAAATAAATGATAAAGATTTAAAATTTAAGGAATTGGTCAAAAGAAATAGTCCACATAATCCTTGCATTATCCAACAGTTGCATTACTCTATTATTCTTTGCCAGAAAGTAAATTGCTCAGGTTATAATATGAAGTATGATCAGTTTTAGTCTTTTAGACTTTACTAAGCTTGCATTCAAACTTCAAAAAAGTTTGTTGAACAAAATGCATTTTAATTGAGAATAATTTTATTAGAGTGGTAATTGGCTCGTTTAATAGGTAAATGGGATCAATACGGGGAGGAGATATGGCGATTTCATATTTTTATCTCAGTTTTACAGCTTACCTTTTAGTAGTTACTGATTGTATTCCAGATTGTTAAAGCATGTATTCAAACTTCATTTTGATGCATGAGTTGCATAGAATCTTTATGAAGCATGTTCATTCAAGTTGGCTGTTGGAGTCTATGCAAATTGATAGTTATCTTTGAAATTCCTTTTTCCCTTTCTAGTGTTTCAGTGTTCCTTTTGTTTGAACAAGGGTCTCTTGGAAATAGTCTCTCTACTTTTTAAGTGGGGAAATGATCTGTGTACACTCACCCCTCCCCAGACCCACTCTATGAGATTTTAGTGGTTTTTTTGTTGTTTTTGTTGTATAAGAGGAGGATATATGCATGCATGCATGCATGTATGTATGTATGTAATGTATGTATGTATGTATGTATGTATGTATGTATGCATGCATGCATGCATGCATGCATGCATGTATGTATGTCAAAGATATCAAAATTTCCTAAAATTTGACTAGATTCTAAAGAGAAGTTTTTAAATGTCTGAACATATACCTGTTCTCCCTTTAGTTATACAGTAATTTGCATTACAAAGGGTGATGTCATGTATAAAAATCAATTTTCTTTGAGAACCAACATCATTATTGCACTCATTTCAAAGTCTTTCATCTGTGAATCCCATTCTACAATGGAGTTGATATTGGAACGTTGGAATCAATTTCAATAAATGAGTCAGATATTTGATATGGTTGACTACTGCAATAATCTGTGGTTCAATACCTTAGAAAATTTAGAGCCAAGGACATAAATATTTTATTCATAACATAAATTTTCTAACATGATGATGTACTAAAAATGTCATTAGGTTTTCACTTAACATTTATGACTTGCACCAACAATAAGCTCTACACCCCAACTTTGTTGGGTCTAGAGGTCAAGATTTCCCAACCTCATCCCTCTAAAAAACAAAGAGGCTTTTCCTATTAAAGCCTAGATGCATTTATTGCCCAAGACTTCTTCATACTCATAAAACAAGGAGCAAGGTTAAATTTAATGTGTCATTTTGATTTAGTCAATTATTTACCTAAATTTAAAACATTGTCAAGGTCACTCTTTTATGTTTTAGCTCCATTTATGCCTTGCAGTTTATCCTAAATTATATCAATGTCAGTAAGATATTACTCTGTATATGACATAGCTATGTTTTTTTATATAAATATTTACAGTTGCTTACCTAGTGGTTTGGAAGGTGCCATTCAACAGTCTGCACATGCAAGCACAACTTTTGTGTCTTCTGGGGGAATGAGGGCCATAGTACGTATTGGAAGTTAAAGTTATAATGAATTGGGTGGTATGCACTTTGCAGGTTCAGTTAGGGAAAGAAAGTTGGAGTGTATATTCTCTTTAGTCATATTCTTGAATAAATCTTATAATTTTGCTATCATAATCATCATCATCATTCTCATCCTCATCCTCATCATCTCTTTTTGAAGAAGTTAAAAAATATTTATTCCATGTGTAAACTGGTTTGTATTGTTTTTTTATACTTGTCTCTGGTTAAATGTTAGTTTAGTTAAAAATAGTTTCTGGCCAATAATGCACCTCAAAGCTGAAAAGCTGAAGTTCGACTAATTGTCATTTCCAACCACAATTTTTATGTGGTACATTTATTTTCGTCCTCAGGTTGAGCTTCTAATACCTCAGTTGCAATTTCTTGATGATGCGGGTGCACAAGCTGAACTCTGGGAACTATCTAGGAAGTTTTTGATAACATTAGCCGAAGAAACAGGAAACCAGGTTCCCCAGCATTATCTATTATTAATATGAATCCTAATCTGTGGATACACTGTACATGCCCACACAGTCTCACATATCTATTACCAGAGAGTTGACTTATCTTCTTCGTGTATATATGGTTATGATTCTATTCAAGAACATTTTTTTTCTCATTTGAATTGCCGCTGATTAAATTTGACATTAAAGCCTTTTGTTGTTTTTACTTAAGTTTCCTATTCGTAACATTTGAATCTCCTGTTGATAGAGAGTTAAAGCCATATTTCCAGATGCTGGAGCAACTGCACTCCTGAAACATCAGTGGCAAGATTCTGCTTTTGGTTTTTCGAGGTAACTTAATTATGAATGTGACTATGTGACTTATAAAGTTATTATTGCTTGTCTTACAAGTATTCTGCTGTGTCTATACAACAAATGGAGCTTATGTGTTAACTTCATTTAACTTTCACTCACAAGTTGCTGTCTTCTAAACACATTAACCATTAGCCATTCTTGTATCTTTTTTATTTTTATGTTTTTTTAATACCATCTCTTCTTGTTATTTGACATTTAAAATGCTCTAGTCTTGGTGACCGGAATCCAGTTGACAAAGAAGATAAAATTGTTGTCATGGTTGTTCCTGATTATCAGATGTTGGGATATGTTGAAAGAATTGCCTCTAATCTGTCAGATGATTTGGTACATACTTTCCGTTTTTGGCTCTCTCTTTTTTTTTGCTTTTATATGCTCTTCTTGATTAAATTCTGAACCCACTTATCTTGTTTACATGCATACATTCCTAATTTTACCATCAACAACTTGCACACAAGGCCCTTGTAGAGCTTAAAGTAGTTTGCCATTGTATTTTATCACTTTACTTTAATATCATTCATCTTAATTGGACTCTCAATTTCATTTGCAGCTCATCGAAATAAGAATATGTTTATTAAGCAAATCAGCACATTTGTCGATAATTTGTGGTTGATTTGTTAGCCTAGGCCTCTAATCATGTGGAATCCACGCCTTGTTAGCCAAGATGTTGGTGTTGGTATCAATGTGCGCAGATTGAGGCGCAACTTCTTAAGGTAACTTTTGAATATTTTGATGACACCATAATACTATTTCATCACTTTGAAATAGTTATAAATATACTATGATATTAGGAGGCTACCGAGTGGCGTTAGCCGTTAGTAGACCCCCCTCGCTAGATAGCAGAAATACAAATAATAGAAACTAGTATTAATAAGTGATAGTAATAAGAATTGCAATACTTGTGATATGTGAATTGATACAAGGTATGAGAAGCACAGACCATTATATAGGCGTAAGACGCAGCTTATGAAGGTGCTAGAAAGGTGCTTGGGAAGGTGCTAGGAAAATGGTGTGTGTGACAGTGTGATTGAGTTGCAAAGTATACTCAAATCATAATATTTCAACAATCACATGCATAGATCTAAGAGAAATTAAGCTTTCTTCTGGAGTACAGCGTGTTTGGAGCTTTTAGAGTGGTTGTGGTTGTGAGTGATGAGTTTAAAATGGGATCGTTTGGTGCAAACAAGCATGGAAAATTGCAACTCTATTTAAATAATTTTATTTAAGAAATAACGTTTTTTTGGTGAGAATTAAGTACGAGAAATATATTACATACTATAGTTTGGTTTCTTGAAGAGACCCTATCTGAAGCCAGTCTTCGAAGAGGTTTAAATGTTGCCATGTCGACCCTCAACTTCTCATCCCACATGCTCTTTGGTTTGCCTCTCCTCTTTATCCCCTCAACCATACTCTTACCCCTAATGATTCTTCTTGTCATATTTTTGCTACAGACTGGTTGAAACTCGTCTTCTTTACCTTTATCCCCTATAGGAGTTTTTGGTTCTTCAAAAATTCTGTACTGATGACCACCACTTCCTTAGGCTTCCAAACAGAGCTTTGTCCAGGTGCTTTTGTGACCTTGTTACCATCAAACTTATTTATGATTCTTCTCGGGCCTTCTGTCTTCCTCCTTGCATGTAGCTCTGTCATGCCTTAACATTTGGCACTTAGAATAGGTTACTTGTTTCCATTCATTCAAGACTTTTTGACTCGTGACTCTTCCATTTTTGTCAACAAACACAACTTCCTCAGGAGACTCATGATTCATAGGCACCGCAACCATCAATCTAGCATACCCAACTAACCGATGTATAGTGCGACTGGCAGTGGCTCTATCAGCCTTTACCGGTTTCCCAATCAGACTCCCTATTTTACTCAAACCACTTAAGCTCCAAAATCTGGTAATCAGATCTGGAAGTTGGACCCATATAGGAAAGTGTGAGATATTTTGGATATCATTGACATCCCAGATTTCCAATTTTTAAGAAACACGGGTTTATTATCAAAACAATAATACCTTCATTTAATCACCTCATCCCTATCTTCTATCTGCGCAAATTGGACGACAAATTTTCATTCCTTTAGTGCAGAAATTGTCCATGGCATAGTTTTTTCAAAATCGTTTAAAGAATCCCTCAACCACTTCCAAATGATGGTTAGCCCCCAGTATTCAACACACAATAGCTGAATCCCAATAATTCATGGTTGACAACATATCATCTTTTGTAGCAAGCTATAAACCTCTTTAGCAGGCTGGTAAGTGAAAGCAGAATCCACAGATCCATCTGATACCACATCCACAAATGATTTCGACGGCTGAATCAGTGGCGATTGCGGATCTATGATCATATTTTCTTCAGTTTCACCTCTGCCAAATCCTGGTTTTGGTATTCCAAGCTTATTCCCATCCACCAGGTTTATTGATTCCAATTTTCACGTCTAGAATCCTTTGGAGTACTTTTTTCCTTGATTTCCCCTTTTGTCTTGTAATTACAGAGTTTTATAGAGATTTTTTTGCTACGTATTTTTTTACAAAAATTTAATGATTTTTTTAAAAATGTTTTCCATGTTAGGCAATGTTTGCTATTATCTTATACATTGTACTTACTATCATCAGTGTGTTATGATTTGATTATGAAGTTGCTTGAGCTTTAATGAATATTTTAAAGTAAATTTCAATGTACTTGTTTGAAAATTTGAATTAACAATATGAGGCTTAGACCTCAATGGTTCATGTTTATGCCTTGCCTCACTTGGCCAAGTTGTCCTAAACTAAGTTTTTCAGATTCAACTGCCTCCGTCCAAAAAACCTTTTTTGTCAAATTTTTCCATAAGCTTTAAGCATCCCCCCCTCTTTACTACCTCCTGATTGCTTACCATAATTCTTTCCACA